AGGCTGGTCTCAAACCCCTGACCTCAGGTGATCTGCCCACCTTGGCCTCCCAAAGTGTTGGGATTACAGGTGTGAGCCACTGCACCTGGCCTAGACTGTTCTTACTGAGCACTGATGTATCCCAGTCTCTGGCACACAGTAGGTGCTCAAGAAATGTTTGTGAAGAAGTGTGCCATGCCCTGTGAAGGCATGAGGGATACCATGGTGAATATAGCAGGCGTGAAAGACAGGGACCCTGCCCTTAACAAAGGTCACAGGCTAGGTTGGGCGTGGTGGCTCACACCTGTAATCCCAGCATTTTGGGAGGCTGAGGCAAGTGGATCACTTGAGGTCAGGAGTTCGAGACCAGCCTGGCCAACATGGCGAAACCCTGTCTCTACTAAAAATACAAAAATTAGCAGGGCGTGATGGCAGGCGCCTATAATCCCAGCTACTTGGGAGGCTGAGGCAGGAGAATGGCTTGAACCCGGGAGGCGGAGTTTGCAGTGAGCCAAGATCGCGTCATTGCACTCCAACCCGAGCAACAAGAGTGAAACTCCATCTCAAAACAAAACAAAAAGGGTCACAGGCTAGGGGTGAGACCTCTCTAGGAAGGTGGGAGGGCAGTCCAGCCCTGTGTCTCTCTCTCCACGACAGAGCGTGCGGGCAACCCAGTCGGAGGAGACTCCTGCCTCTGCAGCACGGCTGTCTGCCAGATCTTCCAGCAGGGGTACTTCTACCTCTATCCCTTCAACATCGAGTACAGCCTCTTCGCCTCCACCATGCTGTACGTCATGTGGAAGAATGTGGGCAGATTCCTGGCCTCCGCCCCTGGCCACAGCCACACCCCATCCCCTCTCAGCCTCTTCCGGGAGACCTTTTTTGCTGGCCCGGTTCTGGGCCTGCTGCTCTTCGTGATAGGACTGGCTGTCTTCATCATCTATGAGGTTCAAGTGAGCGGGGGCGGGGGCCGCACCCAGCAGGCCCTGGTCATCTACTACAGCTTCAACATTGTCTGCTTGGGACTTACGACCTTGGTCAGCCTGAGTGGCTCCATCATCTACCGTTTTGACCGCCGGGCCATGGACCACCATAAGAACCCCACGCGCACCCTGGACGTGGCCCTGCTGATGGGTGCCGCCCTGGGTCAGTACGCCATCTCCTACTACTCCATCGTGGCCGTGGTGGCGGGCACACCCCAGGACCTGCTGGCAGGGCTCGACCTCACCCATGCGCTGCTCATGATTGCCCAGCACACCTTCCAGAACGTATTTATCATCGAGAGCCTTCACCGAGGACCGCCCGGGGCTGAGCCTCACAGTACCCCCACCAAGGAACCTTGCCAAAACCTCAGCTTCACCAACCTGGATGCCTTCCACACCTTGCCTGCCTGCCCACCCACCCCCAGGCTGGTTAGCCCCAGCCCCGCAGACCAGCGAGAAGCAGTGGCCATCATCTCAGCCCCCAGAAGCCAATGGAGACGCCGGTGCCTAAGAGACATTTCTCTGTTTCTCCTGCTCTGCAATGTCATCGTGAGTAGCTGGGGCAAGAAAGGGTGGGCTTGGGAGACGAGGCTGAGGAAGGATGCTCTTGCAGGCTTAAGCCCTTAGCCTCCTCTGTCTTGCCCCCAGCCCGCCTGAGAATCTTACAGCTCTCTAGGAAAGGAGCAGGTTCAGAGGAGGCCAGCTGTAGCTTTGGGGCAAATGGCATCTCAGGGCACACAGAGGAAATGAAATCCTAACATTCTGGCATCTAGGCAGCAGGTGGAGCTGGAGGGGTCACAGGGAAGGTTGACACAGGGGCTGGGCAGAGGTGAGAGGGAGCTGAGAGCTGATGTGGAAGGCGGGGTCCTCACCCCCCAGTGGGAGGTGTGACTGCTCCTGGGAACTTGTGACCTGCCTGCTTCTCAGAATAATTGGAGCAGCCTCAGGAAGTAGCAGAGACCAGTGTAAGTGTGAGCAGTCTGTTAGCAGAGTGAAGTGGGAAGGAGGGTGTCTACAACAGCCACCCCCCCCCCAGTGACTCAGCGAAGATTAAGAGCAACAGACTTGGCCGGGCACAGTGGCTCACGCCAGTAATCTCAGCACTTTGGGAGGCTGAGACAGGCAGATGACTTGAGGTCAGGAGTTCGAGACTAGCCTGGCCAACATGGTAAAACCCCATCTCCACTAAAAATACAAAAATTAGCCAGGCATGGTGGTGTGCGTGCCTATAATCTCAGCTACTCGGGAGGCTGAGGCAAGGAAATTGCTTGAACCCAGGAGGCGGAGGTTGCAGTGAGTTGAGATTGCACCACTGCACTCTAGCCTGGGCAACAGAGTGAGACTTTGTCAAAAAAAGAAAAGCAACAGACTTCACCCAATACAAATATGTTCTCTGTATAGAAGTACCCCAGGGCAGAAACACTGGTAATGAAAGTACATCCCAACAGGGAAATGCTCCTGGTGTTTCTAGTACAACCCAAGACAGAAGTGGCCCAGTGGGGGCTTATTATTACCTCTGATATAGAAACATGTACCTATGTGGGTACATCTCAAAGAGAAAAAAAAAATTTTTTTTTGAGACGGAGTCTTGCTGTGTCGCCCAGGCTGGTGTGCAGTGGTGTGATCTCAGCTCACTGCAAGCCCCGCATCCTGGGTTCACACCATTCTCCTATCTCAGTTTCCCGAGTAGCTGGGACTACAGGTGCCCACCACCACACCCAGCTAATTTTTTGTATTTTTAGTGGAGACAGAGGGGTTCACCGTGTTGGCCAGGATGGCCTCGATCTCCTGACCTCGAGATCTGCCTGCCTCAGCCTCCCAAGGTGCTGGGATTACAGGCGTGAGCCACCGCACCCGGCCGAGAAAAAAACACTTCTAATGAAGTTTCACTCAATAGAAAAACAATCCTTTCAGCTATAACCTCCAATAGAAAAATATCCCTAATACAGAAAATTACTTAATGTGGGTATATCCCAGTACAGAGCAAGAGCACCACAGTGAATTGTACCCCATGAAATCCTACCTGCATGAGGTACACCAGCGGCCCTAAGAGTCATTCTTAGTGAGGTCCCATTCTGAAGGACCATCCACCAGGTCATGGGCCCCACAGGTGTGGGATGTTGCCATGCAGGAGCCTTCCAACACAATCAATTTCACTTCAAAAAAAACGTGGTCATCAGTTTCTGACCCTACCAGTAGAATCATTAAGGCCCAGACCTCACCATGTCTTGGACCGGCTTTGGTGCCTGCCCCCTGCCCTCTGGCCCCACCCCCACCTTCCACCCAGGCCTGGCTTATAGGCTAGGGGCCACCTTCTGGGAGGCTATTCTTGGTCCAGGTATCTGAGCCTAAATCACCTCCAGTAGCAGCTTCTCCATCTCCTTCATTTTATAGGACGGAACAGGCTCAGAGGGGACTGTGATGTGCCCAAGGATGAAGTTAATCAGGGGTAGGGGTGGGGCTAGCCTAGAAACCTTTGTTCTTTGCTTCTTACCCACACCTGAACCTTCTGAGCTCATAGCCAGAGAGGAAGCAGGATTCCAACTTCCACCTTCTCCCACTCCTAGGAAGGGAGAAGGGGATAAGGGGAGAGCTGGAGGGCAGAGCTCAGGGAGGGCTGGGGTGGGGTGGCCTTCTGTCTGAACCTCAAACTCCCTGCCCTGAGCCTATCTGATTCTGCCACCCCCACCCGTGTGCACACAACCCCCCAGGACAGAGCTGCTGATTTTGCTGCTTGTACCTCTTCTTCTAGTGAAACCTCTTCTCCCCTCCCTGATCGCACACTGAGGCCCTGCTAAAATTTTGGAAGAGGCGATCACAGGTGGACTCCTAGCCTGGGGATGGCAAATTCAGTTGGGCTTACTTCCTGGGCCCCTTAGAGAGTGCCAGGTCCTGTCCAAAATGCTAGAGCTGCCCATTCATGGACACCCAGCCCTCCCTGTCCACCAAGCTAGAAAGATGGGCCCCCATCTAGCCACGGCCCAGCAAAGCCCACAGCATCATCCAGACCAGCCCCTGAAATGCTCCTCTCTCCACACAGCTGTGGATCATGCCTGCCTTCGGGGCCCGCCCTCACTTCAGCAACACAGTAGAGGTGGATTTCTACGGTTACTCCCTCTGGGCAGCCATCGTCAACATCTGCCTCCCTTTCGGCATCTTCTACCGCATGCACGCCGTCTCCAGCCTGCTGGAGGTCTACGTGCTGTCCTGAGGCCTGCAACAGACGTGGGGGGCAGGAAGAGGGGGCTCAGCTCATGTGCCCACTCAGATACCCTCTGGAAATGAATCCCAGCTGGTGCCATATGACAGTCCATTTCCTGCTGGTCCCAGAGTGGAATTTTCACAAAAGTTATTTTTCCAGGTTCAATTTTTAAATCACAATCAGGACAGGCCCATCCACCCCAGTATGACCGTGGGGCATGAGGTGACTGGGGAAGGGAGACCTCTCTTGGCAGCATTGCTAGGACCCAATGAGATCTGGAAGTGCCGGCTCTGGCTCCCTCTCTAATCCCATCCTGTGGCCTGGCCAGTGCACTGCCTGGAGCTGGAAACCAATAAACCTGTGATTTGGCCCCATCCCCACTGTTTGTCTCTGTTGTCCCATCTGAGGTGGTCACAGGAGAGGATCTTGGGAGTCAGAGCGGGAAGGGCCCCTGGAGATTTTCAGATCTCAAGCTTTGCAGTATAGTGAGCAAACTCCAAGTGACAGACTAGCTACAGAGTGGGTGACTGGAGTTCCGAAACTGTCATCTTCCTCTTCCCTTTATCTCCAAGCGACATACATTTTTTTTTTTTTTTTTGAGACAGTATCTCATTTTTTCGCCCAGGCTGGAGTGCAGAAAGCTCACTGCAACCTTAACCTCCTGGATTCAAGAGACCCTCCCACCTCAGCCTCCTGGGTAGCTGGAACTACAGCTACTACTGCCACCACGCCTGGCTAAATTTTCTGTGTGTGTGTGTGTGTGTGTAGATGGGGATCTCATTGTGTTGCACAGTGTGGTCTTGAACTCCTGGGCTCAAGTGATCCTCCCGCCTCAGCCTCCCAAAGTGCTGGGATTTCAGGCATGAGCCACAGCACCCAACCTAATCATTCTTTTCGTGTGTGTGTCCCGTGACACAAGAAAGTTTAGGAAGCAGCGACATAGTCGCTGCTGCATTTTACCAAGAAGGAAGCTAAGGCCCAGAGAGGTAAAGTGACTTCCCCAAGGTCACACAGCTACAAAAAATCCAGAGCCTTTCTGCTAAGAACAATAATTTTCAAACTTTGTTTTCAAGCAGAACATTTTTTCCCTTCAAATAAAATATTACAGGAACCTAACTTTATAACATAGATACAGGCCGGGTGCGATGCCTCATGCCTGTAATCCCAGCACTTTGGGAGGCCGAGGCAGGCAGATCACTTCAGGTCAGGAGTTCGAGACTAGCCTGGCCAACATGGCAAAACCCTGTTTCTACTAAAAATTACAAAAATTGGCCAGGCATGGTGGCATGTGCCTGTAATCCCAGCTACTCAGAAGGCTGAGGCAGGAGAATCACTTGAACCCAGGAGGCAAAAGTTGCAGTGAGCCAAGATCATGCCACTGCCACATCTAGATGTGTATAAGAGACAGGAACCCGGGAGGGGGGGGTTCCAGTGAGCCAAGATCATGCCACTGCACTCTAGCCTGGGAGTCAGAGCAAGACTCTGTCTCAAAAAAAAAAAAAAAAAGAAAGAAAGAAAAAAAATATATATATATAGAGAGAGAGAGAGAGAGAGACAGGGCAGTTCTAGTTTAAAAGGAGTTGGGAGTCTCAGATCCTCACCACGTGGGCCTCCCCTGACCTCCCCCTGCCGCGGAGGTCCCCTGGGAGCTTCCCCTAAGCCTTAGGGTTTCTACTCTACAAAGGGTACAGAGATGCTTAGGAGGGAAGACAGAAGAGAGACGGGAAGGAGGCTCCACAGTTAGAAGAAGAGTGAAAGGTGGTGGTGAGCATACAGAGGCAGAGGGAGGGGGAGTACTGGGCGTGACCCATGGAGCAGATGGCGTTTGGGGGAGATATAGGAACAGCAGCACCGGGAGTTCAGGGTACTTTGAGGAAACTGTGCCTGGACGCTGTCAGCAGAAGGAGGTGAGTAGTTCTCAGAGGCCGCAGGTGCAGCTGAGGAGGCCTCCACCCCTGTCAGAATGGCGCTGTGCTCCAACTCTTCCCCACCAAGTTTAGGTTTTACTTAAGGAAAACACAGGGTCCTGCGAGGGTGCCTCCAGGCCTGGGGCTAGGTAGGGTACAGGAAAAAGTGACTCCAGGCCTGGAGGGAGGGCGTCCATTCCCAGCTTCATCACTAAAGGAAAGCGAGGCCTGAATTCCGCAAGCTCTTTACTGCGGGCCTAAGAACACTGCACCCCTCTCCACCCCACCTAAGGGCGGGCTGCGAGTCGGAGACCCTGCAGGTCCGCGCCTGCACAGCCCTCGGCCCCGCCCGCTCGTCCAGCTGCCTCGCAATTGGCTGCACCCTCTGGGTCCGAGCCCCCGGCAGGGTAATTAACGAGGGATTAATGAGATTTCCAAAGTCAACAGAAAAATCGATGGGCCGCGGAGCCCGAGCGGCGGCTGCGCAGTCCCGCTGGGGGAGGGCGTCGCGGGCATCGGTCTCACTTGGACGGACAATCCGCTCAGCGCCCGCAGTCGGTGGTTAGCCCGCGGCGATGCCTGCCCCGGCCTCAGGTAAGTCGGGAGCGCCGGCAGAACTTTCCCAGCTTGCGCACCCCAGACACTGGCACATACTACACCCCCAAAAGCGGGGTTCACGAGCAGGAGATGCAGGGATTGGAACGGGAAAGTGGGGTGACTGTGGAGAGGTCAACTCCCTTTGATCCAAGGCCGGCCCCTCTACCCGCCCCTCAACCCGGGCTCCGCGTCCCTACTCCTTTCCGTGGACCCGGGGGGCACAGAGGGCCGCAGGGCGCGGCTCCTCCTGGC